GCTGTCTGGCTGAATGGTACGTGGATTGAAGGCCAGGAAACGGAAGCGGACGGTCTCCCCCGGCCGGTAGAGGGTCTTATCCGTCTCCCCCATGAGGATAGAAAAGTGTCTGATCATGTATGCGTAACAGAGGACGCTTTTAGTCTTCTCATATCTGCAGTTGATCAGAGGCATTCCGATCTCGAAGGTGCCGATGGCTTCCAAGCAGTAGTCATATGTGATGTTCAGGGTCACCGCAACACCTTCAGACACGACAAAGGGAGTGCGGTAAGCCAGTTCAGCGACATATAGTCCCTGTGATTCTCTTTGGTGCAGTTCTGTATAGGAGGTCACCATGGAGGCATTAATGAGACCATGAACTGATGCTCCAATCAGTACCCGCAAAAGGGGATGTTTGGAATGAAGTTCAATTTGATTTGGCACATCAGGAAAGAGGGTTTTAGGAATGATGACCATGACGGAGTTGTCCGCGTCGTAGTTTGGATCAACAAAAGGAAAATGCTCCGCATAGCTGACACAGGAAAATGAGATCAAGGAAAATAACGTCGCAATTGCAGCCAGCGTGGTGGTGGCAGAGTCGGCCGCAGTGTCCACTAAAGCGTGCAAAAATGCGTGCCACGGCGCGTAGGCCTGTTACAGGGCCGAGCCCTAATTGGCCACTTCGATAGCGATCTGATTGGCGGATAATGTTTACGCCATCCCATGCGCGATTGCTCGCTCGTGTGCGCGTTTGAAGTGCACTCAGAAAGGAAAACAGCTAAGCTGGCTACAAAGCACACCCACACAGCTGCCTTTAATGGTTGCCAGTGTAGTGCGTGGTCCGACGCACATAGTCGCATGAGCCAACTGTCCGGAGGTCATTTCACAAGTTCTGCAACACCAATGCAGGTAAATGGTACAAACGAGCTTGACAGTACACAAAATAGAAGCCCTGTGTAGTACAGCATGTAACTGTGCCAAGGATTTACACAAGTTGCCGAAAACTTCGAAGCCAACAACGATGGAGCGCGGTTTTGGGTGGGTGGAGGGGGGGAGCTAAAGATGACTGAAGAACAGGATCGCAAGTCCAGTCCGGTGCAAAGAGTACCTTTGAAAGTAAACGGTCCATAGTGTTTATCTGAGCACCAATGTCAGTGCCTAACTGAAGTTCAGACAACCGTCACCAAACTGAGACAACAACCTGGTCAAGCTGATGGGAAAGCGGCTGGAAGAAGGCCCTGAGGCTCAATTTGGGTCGGAGTTTTTTCCCTTCTGGTCTATTTTTATAAGTCGTGAAAGTCAGTTCGATCAAGTGCCTATGACCCTTTGATGGACCATCTGCGCCGTGTATGAGCCCATGTACCAACTAGGGCTATATGTGGATAGGGTGGTACCTCGCTATGTGGCTACCCGCGAGGGTTCTAGTTTGAGATCCAAGACACAACAGAACAAGCCCGTTCCGCAACCTGATCGGTGAGCGCTAATCCGTCATGCTTGATATTACCGATCACAACTGAAAGGACAACGGACACGTGGCTTAATGGTAGAGTGTTTAACTCCATTAACAAAGATCCCGGGTTCGAATCGCAAGCGATCCACACTTGGGGTTGGGCATAGCTGACTGATGACGACTAATAAGCCAGAAATGGCCATTCACGTCCCCCTTGACTCCGCAGGCACCATGTCATATATCAATATATATGGCAAACATATTATACCGTACTCCAGACACAGGTATTGACTAAAAGCCCAGACACGTGTTTCGCCGATATTCTACCGCTACGTGACACAGATGCGAGGAGTTCGACTCCTCAGTGGATCCCCTAGCGTCCTCTACATATATGTGCCCCCAAAGTTGCCACGTGGTAGATGCGCTGAACCAACACGGGGGCCATATCGGATTCTGGCAGAAGTTATCGGACTGCGTCCCACAACAAATGCCAACATTTTAGGGTGCGGTGGCACCCCCGGATGCCGGCAGACGTCGCGCACACTGGGACCCCTGCCACCCCACACTGCTGTTGTTAGTTAAAAAAACTGGTCATTTACTGTGTGGATCAGGGGGTGTGGAGTGGAGCGCCAATGTGCGGGCTCGACCCTACCATCCACTTGCGCCCTCCCCCACCGCTGGTCTTCTTGACTATGTTTTGACACCAGGCCCAGGTGGGGGGGGAGGGAGGGGAAACGACAGTGCGGTAGATGCTGCGCAAGTCTACTATCACTAAAAGCTAATTCACACACAAGTCACCGTCCGTGTTTCATCTTGCTGTATAAAGCACGGTGGACATCGTCGACAATGACGGTCGAACTGTCGTACGTATGTATGTATGTTCCTGGTCACGTGTATGTTGTGGACCAGGGGATGTTGTGGTACGCCTAGGTGCGAGTCTGTTCGTGCCAGCCATCTGCGTCCTCCCTCTCCTCGGGTCTTCTTGACTCTGTCTTGACACCGGGTCCAGGTGGGGAGTGGGAAAGAGGGTGTAGAAGCTGCTGCGCAAGTCTACCACCACTATAAGCGAATTCACGCGTAAGTAGCCGTGCCTACCGCACCTTTCTGTGTAGCACATGGTGGACATCGTCAGACTCGACGGTCGAATATCGGATACAGTGCGTGACCTATCTCATGAAATGCTGGCTGAAATTCTGAAATGCGCTTTCGATTAGAAAGGATTACTTGGTCGCGGTTGTGATACTAATTATCTTAAGGCATACTCTTATAACATTTTAGACTAGGCAGGATGTCGGCTTTAAAATGCACTTCTTTTCAATCTCCTGTAGAAAGCTTGCTCGGTAAAAAATGACTACTTTTGTAGCATGCATTTTTCCCATTGATTTTCGATAGTCTTGTAAATTCAAATATGTTTTATAGAAACCACAAACAAAAATATGCTTTCTTTTAGTCAATCAATAGAGAATCATGTCTTCTTTATATTTTATACTTAAGGAAGGAGTATAATTAGGTTTTAAAAAAGTTTCTAATTATGAGACTTTCTAAGACCGCGATATGTCCATTCACATAGCATCGTACCTGGCCGTTTACCACTGCTCCTCATGAAATATACAACATGGTCCGCATCCATTGCAAAATTTTATGGATCCTGTATAATATCTCTTTAATGACATAGAAAAATATGTGATTTGCTTTACGCGGAACGCATACACCTTGTAGAGTGTAATCACTAAGCGCTAATGCAGCGAATGATCAGGCTCCACATTTTTCGGCAATTGGAAAACTTTTTTAAAACCTAATTATACTCCTTCCTTAAGTATAAAATATAAAGAAGACATGATTCTCTATTGATTGACTAAAAGAAAGCATATTTTTGTTTGCGGTTTCTATAAAATATGATTGAATTTGCAAGACCATCGAAAATCAATGGGAAAAATGCATGCTACAAAAGTAGTCATTTTTTACCGAGCAAGCTTTCTACAGGAGATTGAAAAGAAGTGCATTTTAAAGCCGACATCCTGCCTAGTCTAAAATGTTATAAGAGTATGCCTTAAGATAATTAGTATCCCAACCGCGACCAAGTAATCCTTCCTAATCGAAAGCGCATTTCAGAATTTCAGCCAGCATTTCATGTGATAGGTCACGCACGTATGCATGTACGGTGTGGGTGCAGGGGTGTCCAGCGGTGGGTTTACGTGACGGACCTAGTAGGTCTGTAAAGGGCAGGTATTTTTAATTTTGTTTTAATTTTTTCGCTAACGTCGCCCCGAGTGACATTCCGCTTCCCTTGAAGCAAAGGTAACTGAACACCAATCGGACGCGCCGGCTGAAGAACTACGCGTACCGGTATCCCGACCGGAAGAAGAATAAACCGAAGGAAGGCTTCCCCGCAACTTCTGATTTTCCTCTCCTGTTGTCCTTCCCCTCACCCTTCGACCGAATAACCCGTGATCTGTACCTTCTCCAGACCCCTATTTAATAAACGTTCCGTTATTGGCAATTCGATTCCGATAGTATCCGTTGATGTCTGCGTGTTTGAGTGTGCACGATCTCCATGCAAGGAAGCTCAAAAACGAATATGTCTACAGTCGCCCTCATTGACGATTAGCGCCAATCACCCCCTAAGGAAACCAATCCAGACAAAGCTAAACCGACAGGTAACCCGAATATTACGGGTCGTTCAGTTGCTTGCAGGTGTAGACTACGTCTAGCGTCCATTTGCTGGCATCCAACTCTCACTTATGGCTCCCCGAAGAAAGGCTCTGTCTAGCGACTACACCCCCGTAAACACCTCAACCGGCGGACCAAACCAGGTGAGCGTGTCCGTGTGTGCATCTCTGTGCATGATAATCTCGACTTCGTTGGCCGGATGAATCTTCGCATCGGCATCGTCGAGGCGAGGTTCCGTCCGGTACACCGCAGGAGGCCACAAGATAAGTGAGCCTCCAGGTAAGCGAATGCTGCTCTTCTGCTTTTGCGTCGCTTGTTCTTGCTTTCGCGTCCGTCCTTGTTAAAAACTGACTGCCGCTCTATTGGATCTCCTCTGTTGCCTTTGCTCCTCGCTGTCCTGCTTGCTTGCTTGTAAGCTAAATTCCGTTCTGTCGATTGTGTCTGCCCACCGTTTGTACTTCAGCAGCCAGTCAGGTTAGAGAGGGACGGAAAAGCTCCGCATCCCGCCTTTCTACCTTTCCGCCCTCCCCCCTTCAAGCCTACGGCGATGTCGTAGGCTGCCCCAGGCTAACTCGACCCGTTCTCCAACTTAACAAAGACGTGACCCCTAGTGCAGTTCGGCAGCCGTCCGGGACAACCGAGCAGCCCTATTTAGGGAGTGAATTGCTCGCCCCCACAAGGGAAAGGGGTTAGAAAAGGTGCCCTAAACAAATGCTTGGGCTCCACACCGTCTGCAGGCTTACCGTGGTCGCGGACGTAAAACACAACATCGAAACACTCAAAATCGGAACAACACTCTCTCTTCTCCCTCCTCCTCCTCCTCCCCGCCACCACGCTCGCCAGACTGGTAGGTTGAATCCGCTCACTCTGGCAGCCTGAAATGTTCGTTTCCTTTAGACAACCTGAGGAGCAACCGACCGGAACGGAGAACATTGCTAGTGGCCCGGGAACTGGCGCGCTACAAGGTGGACATCGCCGCACTCAGCGAGACTCGATTCTCCAAACAAGGCCAGCTAGAGGCAGACGCCGGCTACACCTTCTTCTGGATCGGTCACCCCGAAGCAGAGCAACGGGACGCGGGCGTCGCCTTTGCCATCCGGAACGACATCGTGGGACGACTGCTCTGTCTGCCGCAGGGCATCAACGATTGTCTGATGAGCCTCCGCCAGCCTCTCCGGGGAGGCAAATTCGCCACCATCATCAGCGCCTACGCTCCCCCAATGACTAGCCCCGTCGAGGCGAGGAACAAATTCTACGAGGATCTGTACGCCTTCCTGGAGACTGTGTCGAAGGCGCATAAGTTGATTGTCCTTGGCAACTTCAACGTCCGCGTCGGCACAGACCATGCTGTCTGGAGAGGAGTGCTAGGCCCCTGTGGTCTCAACGGCTCCAATGACAATGGCCTGCTCCTTCTATGAGCATGTGCAGAACACCGACTAATCCTGACGAACACCTTCTGCCTCCCGATGCGATAGAAGGCCACGTGGATGCCCCCTCGGTCGCGTCAGTGACACCTGCTGGAATATGTCCTCGTCCGGAGGCGAGACCAGTGGGACGTGCTGGTGAAGAAGGCGGTCGCGGGTGCTGATGGGTGGACCGACCACCGCCTCGTCGTCTCGAAGATGCGGATTCGCCCACAGCCTCACAGAAGACTTCAAGGTAAGCGACCCCCGGGTGAGATAAATATTGCCCTGTTGCCTTTATTTACACCCCATTGCCATTTCCGCAACGAGCTAGCTCAACGACTAGATAAAATTCCAGTCTCTGTTGCCGCCGCCGCCGCTGACGAGAACGCCTCCGTAGAGAACCGATGCTGTCAACAGCGGGACACAGTCCAGTCGACGGCGCTGGCCGTGCTCGGTCGTGCACGCCGCCATCTGCGATCTGCTCGCCGAGAAGAACCGCCTGCACAAGGCCTATGTCAACCGCCCCACCGACGGCAGCAAAGGCTGCCAACTGACGGGATAACTTGGACCTCGCAGTCGGCCCAGTGTTGTGCATTTGTGTGGAGCGACCGACTGGTGGTCTAAGAGTCAGGCTGCAATGTGGCCTTTATTGTATTCCCACACCCTCGGATCCGAGCGAGGTGTGACGACACGAACATATGCGGCCCCGGCCACGCCAGCCCTCTTTTTTATGGTTCGTTTAAAAAAATCTGGTTATTCGCTGCGTGGACCAGGGGGTATGGGGCGCAGAGCCAAGGTGCGGGCCCGACCGCGCCATCCTCGTGCGTCCTCCCCTGCCTCCGGTCTTCTTAACTCTGCCTTAACACCGGGTCCAGGTGATGGAGGAGAGGGTGTGGTAGATGCTTCGCAAGTCTACCTACACTATAAACTAAATCACGCGCAAGTCACCGTGTCTGCTTCACCATGCTGTGGAGCACGCGGTGGACCCCGTCGGCAACAACGGTCGAACTATCGTGTGTGTACGGGGTCCCAATGTTTGCATGAGAGGGAGAAGCGATGCCTGGACCAATTGGATTTCATGTCAACCGTAGGAAGAGGACATTCAAACAACGTTCCAGCCAGATGGCATGCATACCTGCCACTGACTTGCTAAGGGCTGTGAGAACAAATCAGTGACGTGGCCGGAAGTCACCGTCGGCCTAAGTTTATGGACGCTTATTGAAATGTGTACTTTAGTTTAATCTTGACAACGGGTCCGAGTCAGAATTCGAAAGCCTAGAGAAATGTAGTTTTGGACCAGATAAACGCACCCCCTTGATCAGTTTAAGTTGCTTTCAATCCGAAAGCAGTCTGCCGGAGCTGAGAAGAGTCGCTTATCGAGGTCAAAGACCACACCTCTAGCACACAAGGAAATAACTATTTGACTTTGCGGTGCACCAGGTAGAATAACCAATGGCAAAATTTTGCGATGGTTTGCTTGGGCGTTCAGTGAGAGCAAACCACCAAAGGGCCGTGAGAAGGCGCTCTCAAGTCATCGTATGAAAATTCGCACAGTGTTCTTCATCTCTCTAGATTGAACGACTTCCTGGATGACTGAACCGCCGAAGTGATGCATGGTTTTTATTGTGGTAGAGGGGACGCTCGCCGATCGTTTTCTACGGAACTCGCTCGTGCTGTTATGCCTTACGGGCTATCTCTGGAGCCCAACCAGCAGCCGCACAGCGGCGCATGATATAGGCAGAGTGCTATTACCAACAAAGACAAGGGAGACTGGAATGGCCATTTCTGGCATATTAGCCGTCGCCAGCCAATCATACCCATCCCCAAAGTGCGGAACACCTAGGGCTCGATCCCGCGATGCGTTAGTTAGAAGTCTAATGCCTCTAACCACTGAGCCGCGAGCTCGTTGTGTTGTCGGTTGCGATCGGGAATATATGATGGTAAAGGTTTTTATTTTGTTTCCACCGTCGTATGTTGCACTGACTGACGAGATACAATATGGGCCCTTCGTAGAAATTGTGACGGACAGCACACTAGGCGCAATGCTACCATCAATCGCACAACTAACAGTCGTAATAGGCGTGTGGTGAGTTGCAAGGAAAGTTGTCCAACTTTATAACCTTAGAGCTTTTTTCCGAACGCCACTACTACTAATGCTGTCAAGGGCAAGCAGAATTTGAAGAGGTGCAAACCCACTTCCAACCAAGATAACCTTTGCTTGTCCCCTCCAGACGCTTTAAGTCAAACATCCCGAAAACGAGGCGGCATAGCACTCCCGCTCTTTCAGCAAGTTGACAACATAATTGGCCAAAACGACAAGCTCGCAAATGTAATCAATAACGAGGCGGGGATATGTATATAGATGATTGAAAAAACAGATACGTAAGAAACCATATCAATTACAAAATGCATATATATACATATATATAAGCCATGCTGGCTGCTCCGGCGGCGCAGTAGGCGGTCCACTAACGTAAAAGTACCAAGGACGTTCAAAGACTCAAACTGGAGAGGAAGAAGAAGACGGCGTAGGCGACGCCAGCAACAAGGAGGAAGCCAAGGAAGACCCACCAGCGCAGAGCGCAGACCACGGTGAAACCGAGGAGGAGTTCGTTGCAGGGCACGAACAACAGCTCGCCTTCGAGGGGCGCAGAGAAGGAGGTGTCAGCGGCCGGTACCGGCATCGACCTTGGGTCCGGCATGTAGACAGCCCAGGGCAGGGCGACAGGAGGGCAGGGCAGATCATGGGTGGCGAGTAGATCACCGGTCTCGCGATCAATTAGGCTCAACGAATCCCAACCCACGGCCAAGAGGGTGGGCAAAAGAGACCCAATGGCAGTTGACTTGAGCAAAATAGAATAGGAAGAAAATATAATCAAACAGGAGGGATAGCTGCGATACAAAAACCGCTTTAGTTGGAGTCCCGGCGCGCCCACAGGTGGCGGATAGTGGGAAGGCCGGAAACGGTAGGTTGTGCAACCCCACTTCGCAACCAGTAAGCCAAGGCTCGTGCAATACGGAAATGGTAGTACTAGAGGTTTTACGAGTAAGGTATCACCGCGTAGGGGAGCGAAATCCATGCAATAACACTTAGAAAATAGATATTTTTTCTCTGAAATTCTTCTACGCCCATATATAGAAACGTGAGCGAGCGCGTTAATTGGGAAATAAACAAAAGATAATTGCATAATCCACCGCCTGCACATTTTCGACAGCCCAGGGACCAATGAAACGAACAACCAATGGGGGAGAAAAGCAGTAAGTGTCAAATACAGTAACTGAAAATTTACTGCAGGGTGGTGTGATGCGCATGAATACTAAAGAAGCTATGAAAATACACCCTAATGAACAAGGAAAAAACCTGTTTGTATCTTCATAACAAGTCAACTGGCTACTGTAAAAAGATTCAAGGAAAAAGAATATTTATGTATAAAGGTTATGTACGATAATGAAATGCATTTATAAATAAGCAAAAAGCAAGTCACAATAAACAAAAGATAACCGAATAATCCGCCGCCTGCAAACTTGCGACAGCCCAGAGACCAATGAAGCGAACAACCAATAGGAGAGGAGAGTAGGTGCCAAATATAGTAACTGTGAAATTTTACTGCAAGGTGGCGTGATACACATGAATATTAGAGAAGCTATGGAGACACACCCTAATGAACCAAGAGAAAACCAAATAACGTAAGCATGGATGTCTGTTTGTATCTTCATAACAAGTTAACTGGCTGCTGTGAAATAAACATTTGACGTTAACAAATATTTATGTATGAGGGTTATGTACGATAATGAAATGTATTTATGAACAGAATGGGTAATAATGGTTATTTATTTCCTTTTAAAATGCAGGACATCAGCTCCAGGTCACAGAAAAGTCAGACAATCGAAGCTTGATTTTCTGACCAACGCAGAGGAAATAACCGAAGCTATAAACTCCGAGAAGATGGTAGACTACTGCCAGACAAGGACACTGCTATCTAAATGCCAAGTGTTAAGCTGCACACCGACAGATTTGTATTCCGGTGCGGCCAATGTCGAGAGAGGAAAGCTCTAAGGGCTCCGGTGTCGAGTCAAATAATATGAACCAAAGTAGACGGGATTCAGTATCGTCTACGGTTTGGCGTAGACAGCGTGGGTTTGAAGCAAGCGTGAGAAATATTCCTGTCGTATACTGCGGAAGCATATCCGGCGCAACAACTTGCCGGGCAAGGAACCTGAAGGACTCCCTCCTGACGGAAATTTAGCAACCATTTGTAAGTAGATTCTTGCACATAAACCCAACTAAATCTAACGGTCTTATTATTCATTATGAGAGGGGCTACGCACAAATACTCTTGAAGAAGTAAATAAGTCATTGCGTACGCCTTCGTGGAAATCTAGTGTTCAAACAGAAATGTGCTTCTGGGTTGAGACCTGTGCGTAACGTCCGGAGTTATTTTCAGTGATCTTCCCGCACAGCACGCTGTTGTACAGCGCCGACTCACCGAAAACAGAGTTTGCATTTTGGTGTAGCCCCTCCAGAGGCCATCTGCGTTCAAAGGGATGATGTCGAGCGCGCTCAATGAGGGCCGAAAGAGGTTGAAGTAGAGTTCAGATGTGCTGTCATTCAGGTCTGACCGATCCACTGCCTTTTTGAGACCGAAGCTCCGGGACAGTTGAAGCCAGGACACCTGTGAATTCACCTGTGAAAGAACCAACAAAGATGACAGGAGACACGGCTTAAGGAGACACGATGCGAAATACTAACGATAGAGGGTCAACTATGCCTAGCAGGAATGAATCCTGCGTCGGGAAGAAGGCAAACTACAGAGACTATTTAAGAAACACAGACAGGTCGTCTATATAGCAGGGGAGATAAGCAGTGTAGTCGAGGGTTGATATAATTGCGTAAAGTCAGCCGGTGGACGGTGATGGAAAGACGTCACGGCCTAACATACTAGCGAATAGTAGGAGATAACGGCACTAAATAGGCTGGTTGAGAGGAAACAATTTTACCGACTTGCTTTGAGCAAAATCAACAGTCGACCTATGAAGACCGCCCCACCAATTTTCCTTTACAACCTACTTCTCAATAACTACAAGATCCGGAGGAGGGAGGTTTGGCCCAATAAAATTCCACGAGAAACGCAGGCAGTTATTCTGGAACACGTGCTTGACAAAAGAAACTCAAAGAACTGGAATGATAAGAGCGACCTTTTCTCAGTCATACAAAGTGACAATTCGGCCATTTTCAGTAGGTGATGGTAAAAATAAAATACTTAGTCAATCGCCATCTCATGGTTGTTTCCAGTTCACAGCAACGGGCTACCTCGTTTCTCTTGACCACAACGTAACACTTGGAACTATACTCAGAAGTTTCTATATCTGGAAATGTTGTAGGACATACCATTCTTGGCAGCACTGGATTCTAGCTAAACGTCCAGACATGTGTCTCGCCGATATTCTGCCGCTGCATGACGCAGCCGCAAGGGATTCAGCTCATCAGTTCCTATATCCCAACTAAGTAAGTTGCTTTCGACACAGTTTCCGACGTGGTTGGACATCACACACCTTCCGGGCAGAAACTCTAAGCGGATAATTCTCGAGGCCCTGCTTTTAGATTGGATATTTATTGAAATGTCAAGACTGCGATCCAGGAAGGATACTCGACGAGAATATTTTCTGGACCGTCCGATGACCCCAAACTTTATGTTCAAGGTTCATTTCAGTTCAGTTTTACTAAGGGAAAGATAGGCGAACGCCTTTGAATTTCTTTTTGGTCCCAGATTTTCTGAGAAAAAGCACCACGCAGTGGAAATTGAAAGAGATTGTTTACGTCATTGCATGGGAGAAGCAAGCAGGCGTCGGTTATTCGACGAAATGTAAACATGAACGCCTACTCACTCATTGCAAGTAGTATGTTAACATGTAAGTTAGGCGTCCGGTTATGTGGGTGCGACTGCGACTGGTAATACGGAGGCCTGATGAATGCCGAGCTTGCACCTACTGAAATATCAAAACCGGACTCGAGAAAGCAAACTCCGCGGGTATAGCTGTTGAAACCTCCGATGACTCCAAAATGTATGCTCAAGGTGTGGTTTAAAAGACAGTAAGGGCCTTCACAATATTCCTTATCAACAATTATCGTCAGCTAGTAATGAACCCTTCATTCTAATTGTATTAGAAGTTTGCCTGTTCGCAAAAAAATGTTTATCGGACAATTGCCATTTCCTAATACGCTTGAAGGTTCTGCAGCCAGCAGAATCCCGTACACCTTTGAAAAGGCAACAGTCCGGTTGTGAATAGTGTAAGCAGTAGCAGGGACATGAAAAGCGTTCCAAGTCGAGCTGTTCAATCATTGCACGCGTGGTCCAAAGTATAAAGTCACATGTAAGATATTTGTAAAACACAACACACCTATGAGATTGGTCGACGTGTGTCTTTTATGTTTCGGTAAGACACAAGAATAGGAAACCCCCTCCTTGTAGTGCCGATGGCCTTACGTTAAGCCCCAGAAAAGGTACCTTTTGCCGTTCCCTATCCCTAACACTAATCCAAACGTTAACTTTGACCCTTAACTTCATCCTAATCTCCCTGGAATTTGGCGTATGAGCACCTGTGTTATGGGGAGGAGGGGTTCATATCCCCGAGCTCCACTTACTCCTTAATGCGTCATTAAAGTGCTGGTGGTATAATCTTACAGTAGCATTTCAACCTGGGTCGAACATCGAGAAAAACAGCCGAGGCAGTGGCTATGCGGCTAGCCAATCCAATGCTATGTTATCAGAAGGCGTTGACGCAGACCCTCTGTCTTCCGTGGCCAACGCCGACCCCAGATTGCTATCACGCGCCGTCCTAACCCGGTGACAGTGATCTGCACCCCACGTACCCGACTCACAAATATCACTTACAGCCTACGTCAAGCCCTCCCCCCACCCCTGCTCCAAAATGACTATAACACGCCGACCTCGTCATGCGGATGGCGTGGTAACGATGAGTGTTGATAGCCCCTGAATCACTTATAAGCCCTGTGAACTTCTCATATTTTCCACTCCTAGGCAACTCTACTGGCCTGATGATGAGTTACCGAAAACACGTGTTTGCCAAATTGATTTTCTAGGTGTCACATGGGGATATTCGTAAGGCAAAGATAAAAGGGACTGAAATGGCTACTGTCGGTGTATAGGCCGCCGCCAGTCAACCATAAATTTTGGCCAGTCAATAGCACCTCAAATAGCATCACACTAACAGTACTCCATTAAAGCACACCGAAGAATATAAACTACTAAAGTACTTTTCGGGAAAACTGGCCAAACAGACTAACTAAGTATTAAGTAGTGCAGCGCCATCATGTTTGCTGACGATGTTAAGCTGTGGAGGGCCATCAGATCTGACGCAGACAGTTACGCGCTTCAAGACAGTCTCAACCGCCTGAACAGTTGATCAGCTCGTTGGCTCCTTAATTTTAATGTGGAAAAATGTGTGGTCCTGAGACTCCGCACCAAAAAGACCAGTAAGGAGGACGATCCCTTTCAATACGTCCTGGGTGGGCAGCTCTTTTCAAATGTTGTGGGACAGAAAGACCTCGGCGTCCTAATGACCTCCTCGCTGAAACCATCATCACAGTGTCAAAGGGCAGTCAAAAGTGCGATATGGATGTTATTTGCGATGAGGCGAGGATCTGTGCAGATCGATAGAGGTGTTCGGAAAAACCTAGGGGACATTCGTCCGGTTTCACTTTGAGTATGCAGTCCAGGCCTGGCGACCGTGGTTGAAAAAAGACTATCAACGACTGGAAAGAGTACAGGCGCTGGCTACGAAAATGGTCAAGAATCTTAATCATCTGCCTTACGAAACCAGGCTGGACTAACTAAACCTGTTTCCTCTCAATTACAGGCAACTGCGTGGCGATCTCATTCAAACCTACAGGATTGTCAGAGGCCGTGAGTGCGCCCTAGACTTTGATGAATTCTTCGAATTGGCCGGGACTGACCGTCTGCGTCGTCATCCCTTCAAACTTCAGAGGAAGCTGGCTCATTCGGACGTCCGACAAAACGCCTTCTCTCACAGGGTCATTGGGGCATGGAACGGACTCCCTGATGCAATGGTTCTTTCTGAAACTGTCGAATCCTTTAAGTGTAGACTAGATGCTCATTTTCTGAGAAACTACTGTACATATAATCACGATTGTTTTAGCGGCGGCAGTTTGCGCCTGGCTCAAACTTACCTTTAACTTTTGAATTTCCGTATTTGCTGATGTAATTGGTGATTATATTTCTGTTTATCGATATGAATAGGGAGCTCAAGGGCGAAGGCCTCATTCCCGTAATAAACTGACTTAAATTTTCCCTCATCCAGCTAGACTGGTTTCCATGAGATCCTGAAGTAGTCATCTTTCAAATTTGGCATGTGGGCTAGTGAATGGGGGCGAATTAGGCTCCTGACCATGACGGCCAAGCGTTATGAGGAAAGCTATAAAAGCAGAGAATAATGACAATATTCCACCAAAATTGACAAGCCAGCCTAAGCTTGACGCAGTCCTAAAACGAATTCCTCAGATTTGAACATCTGAAGAAAATTGCAACACAGCTATCACCACTAAGGTCAAGGGCATGTACGGAACTCCTGCTGTGTCATCCACCCACGATGCAGTGTAGGATTAGTGCACTTCCGTGGTAGAATGCATTTTGCACGGCCATCATCTGTCTATTTGGAAGTTGACCAAGATGACTGAACACGGGGATTAAGTATTCCCCTACTACAGAGTACCCTACCCTCCTAACCCCAATACTAAACCCAGCCCTAACCCCGCTGGGATTTAGCGCAGGGTCACCTGTAATGTGGGGGATGGGTGGGGGTATTTATAACCGTTTCATACTGCCAAGACAATGCGGTCAACTGACATCGTTGCGTCGAGCAGCGGAGGCGAAGTTACTGATGAGGTTACCCATGAGGTAGGTGGTCAGCACAAAGACATCCATGCCCTTCCAGCGCCTTGAGGGTGATGTTCGACAAAACTGCCCTGATTGGGTGCTCTGGTGGGCGCCTTGGAGGTCTCACGGGTGGTCAATCAGTAGCCGATAGTGCCAGCAAGAGTGGTCACTTTCGGCATCTTTTACATGGTGAGACAGTCATGCACCCAACCCCCAACCCCCACCCCCACCCCTTCCGGGCCAAGTGTGAGATTTTAACCCGGCTTAGTCCACAATCACGCTAGAGGGCCAGAGGCTTACATACTGTTGGCTGCCATAGGGAGTACTCGAACCCGATGACAGCAGCGTTCAGTAAGCTGGCCTGATCGTTTAAGAGTTTTGGGCTTTTCAATGACCAGCTAATTGCGACAAATCAGTCAGACATGATCATTACGGGCTCTCCTATAGCTGACGAGGAACATCTCAGCAGTAAAGAGAAGGCAGTTCCAGACAAAAATGGGATATGCGAGGCGACAGGTTATCAAGTAATCAATGCTTTAGTGGCTCTCTAGTGCACTGTAAAAGCGACTTGGGTATCGGGATCTCTAACGCCGTTGGTGTGACGGTGTTGAGAGAGAACATGTACAAGCACAAAGCATGTGTCAAAGCCTCCAAGTCAGTGCGCTTGAAACCGGGAGTGGCTCTCAGCGGATGAAGTAGCCCGTGGATAATCGAGGGAGAGAAGGGAGGAATTACTCGATGGAAACAAGACGCGTCATGGCTTAAGCTGGTAATCCACTAAGTCGCTAACTAGCCGACCCCAAGGTTATCAGTCCTGCACAGACCGCGAATGCCTGTTAGGCAAGTTTTCGTCCGTCCGTCTGCAGTGGTCACGGTCGTCTGAAAGATGTTGCGGTATCGCCGTCCATTGGCACACAGGATTGTCTGCGGTTAGAAAAACAGGCGAGAACCCGTCCATCCGGGGAACGTAACTTTGAACAAGGACGAAGAGGCAATGGAAACTAAGTGGTTTACGGATGACAACAGGACAAAGGGACAATTGAAAGTGAGATCTGAAGATTTCGGGCCACTTACTCGCCACCCTTCTTTTCCGGTAAGATCAACCGATGTAACAGAGCCGTCTGATGTTAGGAAGTAGACCGATTGATGCTCCATTGACGACGTGCCGACACTGTGGATTGAAAAGCAGATCATGGAGGCAATATCGGCAAGGAAATTTACTAGTCTTGGGAGAATTGAAAAGCAGGACACAGGACAGAAGACTTGAAAAGTCGATTACGCAACTGCGGTACGAAATACATCCATTGTCACCTTCAAAACGGACCAGGCCAGATTGGTGCACCACCCAACACTAGCCTGGAACGAACAAAGATTCTTCTCGTGATACCAATAGTTCGACCGTCGCAAGCGACGTCCACTGCGTGACCTACGGAGTGGGCGCAGCACCGGCGACTGGCGTGCGGATTCGTTTATAGCGAGACAGACTTCCGAAGCGCCTACCGCACTCGTCCCCCCTCCCCCAAGTCACCTTGCTCCGATAGCGGGACAGTGTCAAGACGACAGGAGGTGGACCCGGGTGCAGAGGATGACAGGGCTTAACAGCCCTTCTTCGCGTGCCGCACACAAGACGACAGCTCGACCGTCGAGTCCGACGATGTCCACCCTGTGCTACACAACTTGATGCAGCAGGCATGGTGACTTGCGCGTGAATTAGTTTATATTCCTCCGACCGCCCAACTACATACAAACACACAGTGAGAACCAAATTACCCCGTTAGTTGACAACTTTCCAGACCACAGTTCTTAGCGTGTTGTGATAGATCCAAGCACGGCACATTTATTACAGTGAGGAATGCGCTGATTCGTCGCGAGAATAGATTCCCCGCTTTAGATCACTACAATGACTGACGCAGTGTGAAGATCTACATCTAAGGCATGCCAACACACCCCTAAAAGCGGTAATGGAGCCTGCGCGGAATTAGCGCAGCTTGTTCACAGGTGAAAAAGAAATGGCGGCCGTGTTCTATCAAACGCAGAACGTCAAGGAGTCTTATAGGAGCTACTCTCTTCTTCGTCTATTAGACCAGATGATACGTAGGAGTCAGGCATCATGAATTACCGTCAAATAGATGGCCACTTCAACTGTTATACCAGAGATTGATCTCCATCACGCATCCATCGTCGTGCTTACTCTCTTCCCTCTGATGGCTTATATTCAAGCACGTTGGGTCGCAAACGGAAGACGTTGGGAACCACAGCGCTGGTTGCCCAGCCAGTCCACTGGTGACGGCTAGGAGAACGGCTTTCAGCGAGGAATAGACTCTTGCGCCAAGTGAATGAGCAATCATGAATCTGTAGCGGCATCGCTACCAGGGCGCGAAGATCCGAGGTGTGGCACACATACTGTTCAATAAAACACCACAAAATCCGATATGGCGCCATGACTGGAGGGAGTCATGGCCAACTCTCGGCCCTTCGAATCGTAGTCTCTGCATTCCTGAATGACGTGAATTACTAGGCTTTATTGCTACCGTATTGCCGGCCTTGATTTTTTCGTTCTTGTTTTAATTTGATCCACTGGAGTGTATTTGCATGGAAATTTGAAAAGAGGGCGCTGCTATGTACAAGTACATGGGGATCATACTTTTAATGTCTAAAGATGCCAGACAGAGCGCTAGCGGGCATAACTTTTGGTGCCACATTGACAGACTTGAAAGTTCTTCGGTGTACCTGGGAATTCGACTTACGTCGGCATAAATGGTAGCGGTGGTGGTAGTAGTAGTAGTAGTATTATTATTATTATTAGTAGTAGTAGTAGTAGTAGTAGTGGTGGTGGCGGTAGTAGTAGTAGTAGTAGTAGTAGTAGTAGTAGTAGTAGTAGTAGTAGTAGTAGTAGTAGTAGTAGTAGTAGTAGTAGTAGTAGTAGTAGTAGTAGTAGTAGTAGTAGTAGTAGTAGTAGTAGTAGTAGTAGTAGTAGTAGTAGTAGTAGTAGTGGTAGTAGTGGTAGTAGTAGTAGTAGTAGTAGTAGTAGTAGTAGTAATTGTTGCTGTTGTATGCAATCATCAGGTGGCAGGGTTAACTGGCAAGCATTGCAAGGAAATCAGAGTGCTTGCTTACGTGGGTAGTGCTAGGGGTGGGACAGACAAGGCTTCGTCTTCCAGCCACGCGCTTCGACCAAAACGAGGATGGTCAAAAATGCCGTGGGTTCTGCAGAGTCCTCGCAAATCCCGCATTCCAGGCCTGGTGGCAGGGGATGGAGATGGTTCAAGCGGCAAAAAGACGGCAAAACAGTCCACTGTGTGGCTGAGGTCCCCACCACCGGTCTCAGAGGACTGTCGCGAGTCAGCTCCATCTGCGTCACTCTCAGAGGCCATGTTTGAGTAATAACCGTGTGACAGCGAGGGAAAGTAGGGAGCCGGAATAATCTGCGAACTGACGGAGACACGAAAGAGGTACGGTGAAAGACCAGGCGCATCTGCGCGCGAGAGGACGCTGTGGCCCGGGTCTAGGGAGGGGGAGAGAAACCAAGTACAATGGTTGAACTTGAGCGGGAGCCCGTAAGGCATAACGACACGAGTGAGTTCTATAAAAACGATTGGTGAGCGCCCCTCTATCATAATACATTCTCGATCGCAACCGACAGGACATCGAGCCCGTGGCTCAGTGTTTAGAGGTGTTGTGCTTCTAACAGGTGGCGGGATCGAGCCCTCGGTGCTCCACACTTCGGGGTTGGGTATGACTGGCTGACGATGGCTAATACGCCAGAAATGGGTGTTCCAGTCTACCTTGACTTTGTGGTTAATAACATCCAGACCCAGTACAGTCTGCTTTAAGAACTACGCTGTTTAAACGATATGCCCATGTGTTGAAACAGAGTGCACAGAGTGAGAAGCAAAGAGGGACGTGACGCAGAGGTTGCGGCGTCAGTCCGACGAGGATCCAGCAATGCGAATTCGGAATAATTGCTGAAACACCGAGGCCGTTTTCGCTGACGCTTAGCCCTCAGCTAGAACTAATGGATAATAATAACGCTGCAACTTTACTGAGAGACCTACAAATACAACGAAATCCAGTCCTTCCGAGAAACATTTGAATCTACGTAAACCCATCCGATGGAAATCGATCGCCGAGTTTGCTGTAGTCGGCAACATGCTCACGCCTGGGAAGACATGTCCAGTTGAAACTGGAGTCACAACAAGCCCCTATCCGGCCGTTAGCAAGCGAGCGACCGACTGATACAAGCCCTGTCTGAAGATAAGTTCTCTTGAAAACAGGGAGTATATACCCTCACTCCTGCCAATCTCTGAGACCACACATAAGTTGGAGCCTGCCAGCATCCATACGAACAAGAATAGCGACGAAAATAAGGGAGACTGGAATGGCCATTTCTGGCTTATTAGCCGTCGTCAGCCAGCCATACCCAAGCCCGAAGTGTGGAACATCTGGGGTTCGATCCCGCGACCTGTTAGTTGGAAGTCCAACGTCTCCAACCACTGAGCTATGGGCTCGTTGTCCTGTCGGTTTCGATCGGGAATATACAATGGTAGGGGGCGCTCACCGATCGTTCTTCAGCCAGTCTTATTCAACATATGATTTGAACCAGGGTTCTTTGGCCCTTGAGAGTTAAGTAGTCCAATGCTCTGGTATTCTGTCAGTTGTGATAAGGGTGTGTTAACAATGGTGGGAGGGGGGAGGGGGACGTTCACCAACCAGGTATGAATGGTGGACGAGGGCCAGCCCAGTATCAATTGTCTTCGCCGGCACTTCTCTGCATCCACTGGTAGTCGCTAAACAACTATCTGTGAGGGCCCAAGGCCCAACAAGAGGAGCATGTCCCGCAACCTGATCGAAACACGTCCCCGCCACTACTCTCATACAAAATTTAAAGGCTGAAGGGTGGTAGCAGAGGCCATCACAAAGGCAGGAGCACCAGACACAAATTGTGCTGTTTGTGGGAACGCTTTAAACTCACGTAGATGCGACGAAAATGAGGCAAGGAACTCTCCGGTGACCGAATCCAGGATGCTGATACCTCGGGAGTTCAAGATGAACAACAGGCGCGATTTATCGCCCACAGAAAGAGCTCGAGTGCCAGAGGATCCGTGCCAACGAATGGGCTATGCATCCAGGGAAGACAAAAAAGGCCATAGTCTGTTAGCCCTAAAAATACAAAATGCAGCGGAAATATACTGCCTGCAGGTGCCAGAGGAGTTCCAAGGCACAAGCTTCTCCGCTAGTATGAGCATAATAATTCAATAGCACGTCATTAGAGTCAACACGGACTGAGTAGCTCTTAGAACCTCCAGGTCTAAGACAAAGGGCAACATGTAGGCAGAATAGCATAGGCGGTCACACTTCAGCAGCTTTCTCCGGCAACGTCAATCCTAACTGGGTAGGAAAATCTTGCATCGGATCACTCTCCCTCTTTTCTCCGCAGACTCTAGTGCGGATGATGATGATGATGGTGGTGGTGGTGGTGGTGGTGGTGGTGGTGGTGGTGGTGGTGGTGGTGGTGGTGGTGGTGGTGGTGGTGGTGGTGGTGTGCCCCCCAAAACGGGCCACGTGTTAGATGGGCTGGACCAACACGAGGCCATATCAGATTCTGACAGGCGTTATCGGATTTGTGCACCATAACGAATGCCAACATTTCGGGGTGCGGCGGCAAACCGGTTGCCGACAGATGAAGCGCACACTGGGGCCCCTGCCGCCCGCCATTGTTGCTGTTGGTCAAAGGTCCGGTCATTTGCTGTGTGGATCAAAGGGTGTGGAGTGGAACGCCAAGGTGCGGGCTCGATCGTTCCATCCACCTGCACACTCCCCCGCCTCGGGTCTTTTCGACTTTGTCTTCGCACCGGGTCGAGGTGGGGAGAAGGGAGGAGAGAGTGCGGTAGATGCTGCGCAAGTCTACTGTCACTATAAACGAATTCACGCGCAAGTCGTCGTGCCTGATGCACCTTGTTGTGTAGCACACAGTGAACATCATCGGAATCGACGGCCGAACTGTCAATGGTGGCGGTGGCTAAACGAGATGTCGGTCCATTTATTAGGTGTCAGAACGAGTTGTTCCTAGTCAGTGTTCAGGGCCTTTTCGACTTAAACCGTGAGCGTCTGTAAATGTGAGCCATTGGAAATGTTTGAGACCCACCTGCTGCATGTTCTGCCTGCCAGATGAAGCAGTTACCGTGCGTGTCTGCCATGTACGGCCTGAAAAATCACGCTGGTGTAAGCATTTGGACCGGCCTCTGTCAGCTCCTGGTGCATCCTGTCACATACAGTGCGTGACCTATCTCATGAAATCTGACAATGGAATCTCATGGGAGAATTTCTGGACGCCTTTAACGGTAAACATTTTGTTCGCTCATCCACTTCCTTCAATAAAATGTCCTTTTCTTGTGCAGGAATTGTGTTTACGTCCGAGCCATCCACCTGCGGCCTCTCTCGTCTCCAGTCTTCTTGACACTGTCTTGACACCGGGCTCGGGCGAGGGAGGAGGAGGGAGTGTAGGTAGATGCTACGCAAGTCTACCGGCACTATAAACCCCTGCGTAAGTCACCGTCCCTGCTCCCATCGCTGCTGCAGCTGTGGGGCACACGGTGGACATCGTCGAAATCGACGGTCGAACTGTCATATGAAGTAAAATATCAGTAACTTTGGGCGAAAATGGACGTTAGAATATATTCGTGCGATTTCCTATGCTAATACATGTCCTAGACTCCGGTTACGCATCTGAGCGACTTTTTCATTGAAAGGACAGTAATTTACCCGCGAGTTTTAATTGACAGATTTAGCCGGACTGGAAATTTTATTTTATGTCCGATGTAAACCATGGTGATCAACCTACCAGAAAAAAGGTCTACTTTCGTATTTACTATGTTTTTGGTATGGCAATACATTCTATACATCTAAAAATGCACTTTACTTAATTAGAGCCATTTCTGACGTTTTCGGGAAATTGCGCTTTTCAAAATAAATCGGAATTTCTAAACAACGCACCACTGCCCTTAATGTTTATTTTATGTTTTTAAATCTTTTAAACTTGTACTTAATTAGCATAGACATTTGACTCATTGAATGGTGTCGGTTTGTGAGTGATTGACAATCATTCGTAAATTTCGGCACATTTCATGAGTTAGGTCACTAACCGTACTGGCATACTGACTGAAAATTGCATCCCAATCCTAACATTTTAGCATCGTCATCATCAACAATGAAAACGGCTGGAAATCATTGTGGCATAAGCTTAATTCGGCTCCAAAAAGAGCCAGGGACGAATTAGGATTGCCGACTTAAAGAAGACGTCAGTTACTCGTTCGACTGGTCGCTGAAAAACAACCCTATGATCGGCCACAGCAATGAAACGAGTATGAGTTTACATGTTATCCGTGAGGGACTGTTTCCTGCGCCAAAAAGAGCCCTTTTCAGAGTTCTTTAACTCGCTATTTTTGGATGAACGCTGGAGGAGCTGCGATTCATTCGGGTCGATGATTTTAAGCAGCCCTCTGACAAGATTCGAGCAGTAAACCGATGCTACCGAAAGAACGGACCCCAGACCGCGGACAGACTGTCATCTAAGGCTTATATTTGTCGTTCTAATGTCATGTATAATATGTTCGAAGAGATATGCCAATGCGTGCGGTACTTGGGGTACGGCCCGCAGGACCGGAGTAGTGCTTTTACTCCCCTTCTTCAGAAGTGGAGACAGATTGGACTGTCGTGAGCACATCAGATTGGCCAGAATCACCACCGCGCACCCAAAAAAACATTCTTTTGAACAATATCCACACCCCTAGTGACATAATGATGGGAAAGACCCGGGGAATAACTTCGCTCTAGCAGAGGCTGTGCCAACCAGACACTGACCCAGAGGCGGGTCCAAGAATGGTCATTTTTAACATTACATTGCGGCTGTCTGTCTCCTGGATTTTGTCGCGACTTTCGAATTAAGCAACAGGAGTGGTCCGTGGGAAAGCCTGCAGGCTAACGACGCAACTCTTGAACAATGTCAATTAAGGTAGACAAGGGTTCGGGCATCCCATGAAAAGGTCAGGTACTTCACCGGTCGATGCCAGCGCCCCGCAATGCAGATTTCTCTCATGCGGCAGATATGCAGACTACTGACGACTGGCTCCATACGCCCTGTCTACATCAGAGAAATACAACTGTGTGCCTGTTTGGCTCTGTGGGGGCAATAATAATCTGAGAATCAAAACAATGAGTTCTGCTACAAGCTCTAGAAGCTCAAAACCGGTTGGTGGGGGAAAAGGGCGAAAGAGCACAGTACCAGAGCTGCAAGTAGCAGGTCGCGATATTTCCGCCACTTCTTACTGAACGCGCGGTCGGAGTCCGATGTCAGAGCCTGTAACTTCCAATGATGACCCAGCGGAGAGGAGGAATTAAAGGGTGTCTGAAAGGGGGTAAACAAAATGAAGAACTCAATTGGTTACTTACCTAGAAGTCAGACACAATCCCTTTAGGAATCTGGAGCAGAGGTTGACGAAAAATATTAGCAACAAGGGTATGGAATAGACAAATATTCGTAAGGAAAATAAGGATAAGATATTAGCCAAACAGCTCTACAGCACCTGAACGATCTAAGAAGCAGTTTAAAATGGCCCAAAACTATCACCTTTTTTTTCTCGGCAGCTGAGACTGGGTAATGCTGCCAACGTACATCACCGTACTTCAGTGATATGGAGAGAACGAAGGGATCCACCGCCTCGTAATGGCTACAAAATTAAACATTTGACTGATGGAAAGAAAAAAGTTGCATCTAACTTAATGCATGAAGTTTGAGTTGTCAGCAGCGGATGCAAAATTGCAATGTTAAGTCAAGTCTAGGGCGGAACACACCTCGAGGCCTCATTTTCGACCATCAAGAGGACAGTGGCACAGGAAAAGACCCGTTCACGGGAGCAATCCAAGACTTCCAAATAAAAGGCTGGTTTAAGGGCGGCTGCGATCGGCAGGGAAAAAGACCGTGACCATAACGTGCTCAGATGTCGAGACAGCAGCCATAACCGAAATTGAGTGTGATCGGACGACTGGTTGTCAGATTCCATAGCAGCGACGACAACAACCTTTAAGTAAACGAGGATATATAAGCAGAAGGCTTCCCGACAACCTGATATGAAGTTGAATTTACCACAGTCTAAGAGATTAGCGAGAGCATGAGTCCAAATAAATGTGCAAAATAAGGGGCTTTAGTCTCCCGAAATGCGTGCTATGACCGAAACGGCTTCATTAAAGAGGCCCATGTATGTATGTATGTATGCAATTTTTGTCTAAAAAGTTTCATTTTGGTTATAATATTACCGAATCCACCTCAGAGAAGAGTAGCTAAGAGGAGTCCCAAAGGTGACCCAATTGGAACTGTTAATGTTTCTTTTCACGAGCTTCGGTAAGCATCTCAAAACCCACAGATAGCAACTGTATGCCGATCTGTAGATAGACAGTCGCCCATTACGGTTTTTGAACAGCAGTCGAGTATGGAATCATATTTCCGCATGATTGCATTTCAATCCTTACACTGAAAATCCTAACTAGGGGTTCCAGGTCGAAAGTCGAATTCCGAATTATCGGCAAATGGCAGTTCGACCGTCGCATCTGGCGATGTCCGCCGTGTGCTTCACAGCGAGGTAAAGCAGGCACGCTGACTTGTGTGCGTGAATATGTTTATAGTGAGTGTATACTTTCGCTGCATCTAACGCACTCTTTTCTCCTCCCCCACCTGAGCCCGGTGTCAAAGAAACCGGAGGCGGAGGAGGCTACAGGTAGATTGAGCGGTCGAGACCGCACCCTGTCGCCCCACTCCACATCCCCTGATCCACACAACAATTGACCTGGATTTTAACCAACAAAAACACCACGACGGGTCAGAAGGAGGATGACTGAGAAGCCATACTTACGACCTGTATAAACGGCGGGAGCGCAAGCACATCTACCGGCAGGGAACCAGGTGTCGGAAAACTTTCAGCGCATAGCCGGATACTAGGGCTATGGCTTGTTGATCCTGACATAGCAGACGCCTGCAGACAGCACAGACATTAATTAAAAGCCCAGACACATGCTTCGTCGATATTTTGCCACTGCGTGACACAGCTGCGAGGGGTTCGGCCTATCAGTGGGTCACCCAGCCTTCCCTGTGTGCATTCTAGTGTATTGTCCAGTTTTTGGATTTCAGCCTTCTTTTCAGAAGATAATGCGCCAACTTTTAGTAGATAATTCGGAATTAAGCTCTATAGACTCAGTGTGAAAACAGGTGTTTGTGCCAAAATCCGCCAGCGTCAACGAGACAACTGCGTAATATTCATAAACCGCAAACAAGCAGTCAGCGATACACAGACGTCGGATGATTTACCATACTGACGACACATGTATTTGCTAAATGGCCAGACACGTAATTCTGCCGCTGTCTGGCACACCTGCGAGGGCTTCGGTCCAACAATGAGTTCCGCGTGCTTTCTAGTGGTCATTTATAATCAGAATTACTCCTCGAGCTGGAGATTTGTCAAAACGCGGCAGTGAATGCTTGTCTTTCAGCATAAAAAATTTTTTGTTGTCAAATGTTAAACGGTAAGTATTGCATGTCATTCGAAACGACCTCTAGAAAGTCCCCATCATTGTGACTCACAGGCCAAACAAGTCTCCATAAATTTGCTTATCAGTCAAGTACTGAAGTTAAATGACAGCGACAGGAATCCTACTATTGGTGGAAAGCTCGGATTGCAGGATCTCTAGTTCTCTCATACTAATCCTTCGCATCTTATATATGAGTTAAATTTGCGTTACTTTGTCTAAAAAAAGTGCGAAAAAGATATTCTGTATGCCATAGTGGCGACAGAATGTTTATTCACGGCCAACCCCAAAACGACTAAAGGTGAGCATGGGATCAATGGCTGAAAAAGCCAAACTGCCCGTCTACGCCAGCCACACGCCACTCGGGTCCTAATCCGGATGTCCCGGGCTACGATAATAACGACTCCGATCATGCACACGCGAGAATTACACAAAGACCGCATTAAGAAGCAGCTATTGCAACTTGACGTCCAGTCCAAGGCTGCACGAAAAGAACTAAGGAAGGTCTGCCATAGACAAAAGGAACGATTTTAGCGCACAAAATGTGCCGACATGAAATCTGACAGAAACACAGGTCGTAAAAACCATCGAGCCAAGAGAAAGAGGGACAGTTGTGATGGAGCCGAGTCAAATACCAGAACAAACTAAATGGTCCGGTTAGAATTCATCCAAAAGGATACCAAGGCTATGTCCGAAAGGCATACGAAGAGCAAAGAGCCCACAAACACACTCAGTAAAGGCAGTGTTAACAACTCAGAGAACAACGGGGAGAGGACTTCCGTACTTCCCGAGAAAGATCTTTAGGCGCTTTTAAACACACATGACACCCCATAACTGGACTCTACGCCTAATTCCCCTAAGGGTCCTTGTTCCATTATTCGCCACCCCCTACAAAATATGCCTAACATGCTCTTTAAAAACCATCCCCCCAAACGACTAGGACAGGCTTAATTCATCCCTCAACCCACGGTGGAGTTTTGGTGGCTGTCTGAAAAGTATCACGCGGTTATGCCAACTCCTGAAATTTTAACCGAAATCCAGAAAGGTGTCTTCAGTTAGGATTATTTAGGTAAGGTTGTCGTGCAGCATAATCCCAAGACACTTCCATCACGCCAGGATGCCCACTTTTGATTGAGCTTCTTGCGGGTCATTTGTGAAGACCACTCTCGGCACAAAATGATTGCTAAAGTATTAAGGGTTCTTCCTATTGAATGTGGATGCCTTTATAAATTTAGGCACATTTTATAAAAAAACATACACAACAATATTCTTTCTCGTGCTGATTTGGCTGAAACTGGCGTTCTCTCTAATCGGCACCTCGGTGAGTTGGGCGGGCAACTTGACCCACATGTGATTAAACTCGCGTCACCCGGCGGGGCCTCGTAGCTGAAGTGGTTAGAGCGTTGGCTGTACTAAAGCCTTCCCCTTACTGCGTGGGTTCGAATCCCACCGAGGCGCCGAGTTTTTCACAGTTGGGTCAATATGAATTATTCAAAATCTGCCAAAACCTCTATGAAAATGACGTTCTCTCTAATTTTTCTTCCCGAAGAAAGGGCATCCAACGGTTTTAAAAAGTCTTTCATTACGATGTCTTTAATGTCGTGAAATGTTTACTCATACAGCATCGTATCTGTGAGCCAATCAATGGCGCTTATGAAGCACGTAACATGGTCCATATTCATTGCAAAATTGTATGAACCTTCTATGACATATTCTTAATAGCGAAGAGCAATGAATAACTTTCTTTACACGGAATGCATAAAGCATTAAGTTCGGAAACCCTACGAGCGAGTGCAAATGTAAGTCAGGTTCAGGATTCACTCGGGAATTTAAAATTTCTTTTAAAACCTAAAGACACTCCTTCTGAAAGTATAAGACTTAGGGAAGAAGAAATGCGCCACCACACGAACAAGAGATTAAAAAATTTTGTGCATGTTTTCTATAAAATACATTTGAATTAATAAGGGAATCGAAAATCAATAAGAAAAACGCATACTACTTAGGTACCACTTTATACCGAGTGTCTGGAAAGGAGCTCGATCAAAAGCCGGCATAGTGGTGTGACTGAACCATCTTAGAAGCACGTTACATTGTAATCAATATTACAACAAAACAAATATCGAAATTTCGGTTAACAGTACAGGAGATAGACCACCAACCGTATATTTATAGGTCCCAGCTTAAACCTCGAGTTAACACCCGAGCTCGATAGATGAGATCTCCAAAGCCTGTTCTCCCTGGGCAATGTGTCTAAAGAAGTCGTAACTCCCAGATGCAAGTCGTTTAGTAGACGTAACTGTTTGTGGGAGACGAGATGGGCAACCGTGATATGAACTACCACAGAGGCCGGTGTGTATAACTTATGCTACATGTCCGCAGTCTAAAGCAGCCTGACGACGCGGTGGCAAAACATATCGGTAGTTTAGAATCTCTTTAAGTAGACGAATGCCCGCTTCTGTGGCCATCGTTTCTGTTTTAAATGGTACCCACCTAACCCGTTCTGACCTCGTTTTCTGTCGCCCCCGACAAGTTATATCCCCTCCCATTTCATGCTCCTCAGTTCTTGCCCTTTTCTTCTATTCAAGTAGTAGCGTCCCGGTTGCGCAGTTTAGCCACTGGCATTTATGCGCCAACTAGCTGCCTTATCCTTAACACGACCTCCTAAGATTTCTGGAAAGCACTTCAGGGTTCACCTGTAGTTTTATATTAGTACAGGTTCTAGTAGAAAGGCAACAAGGTATTTGGTAGTCAGAATGGCATTGCCGACAAAGACAAGGGAGACTGGAATAGCTATTTCTGGCTTATTAGTCGTCGTCAGCCAGTCATAGTCAACCCCGAAGTGAGGAGCACCTGGGGTTCGATCCCGCAACCTGTCAGTTGGAAGTCCAAAGCCTATAACCAGAAATGGCCATTGCAGTCTCCTTTGTCTTTGTCAGTGATACCACACTGCCCATATCATGCGCCGCTGTGCAGCTGCTTGTTGGGCTCGAGAGAGGGCCCGTAAGGCACAAAGGGACGAGTGAGTTCCGTGGAAGCGGTCGGTGAGCGTCCCATTATTTAGTAGTCTTTGATCTCCAAATAAAAATTTCGCATTCGCCCCTGAGTCACACCGGTCAGCATCCCCCATAACGCCGCACCAGCAACTACCGGGCAGTGTACTAGCAGGTCCGATTTTGCGGTGAGTCGCTTGTTCCTTATATGATTGGCTAAGGTGGCACTATCTGCGCGAGTGACGCAGGCCTGTTGCTGCAGCCCCAGGCACTCAGCAGCCAACTCCTGTTATCGGACCGTAGTACGCCTGCGCAGCTTGTCGACAAATTCGTCCACGGGCGACACACAATATACAATCCATGCACTGCGTATGTGTGTGCACCTAGCGTTTGTTACACTAGCGGCGACTGAATGCGAAGAGAGGGGCACATAATAGGCCTGGGTGAAATGTCATCCAACTGAGCCGACTCCAGCAGTGCGCGCAATCTGTGTGCGCGTGTCGTCTAGACCTTTGACGTCACTAAAGATAGGTAGACCGTACCTGACGGCAAATGATATGATTCAAGAAATGAAAGAAAACTAGAGGTAATCACAAACTGACGTCGGTAGGGGCCCCTACCGACTGCTAGCCGGCTAGCAGTGTACGGGTGCACTGTTATCCGGCGTCCTTGAGACCAATCAGAGAAAAACACAGTTGAACACAGCACGGAAATCATACCTGAGCACCGTTCAGCCAGCAGGAAGCAACTTTCGGTGGAATTGAGTGATTCACGTTAAAGTGAAAGTCGGAGGTGGGATGATTCGGATTCCAATTGTTTTTGATAAAGGCACTCGGGGGAAATTGTCCATATTTATAATATGGGAGTTCTAATGACCGAACGGTCGAAATGTTAGATGAAACGTCAACAGATGTGAGGAAAATCCACGACATAAGACTTTCTCCAGCGTGAGCAAAAGAAGCATCTTGCCAACGTAATACAGGCCGAGGGGAAAAACTTATGTTTAATACGTCAACATTGGACAGAGCATTAAACAGAAAATATAGTTCTAGTCTGTACTCATAAAATTTTAAACGAAGTAAAAAGAAGGATAAAAGGCAGGTGAATGTCAAATAGACCCCCGGCCGCATTATCGGTGAGAGCGCACACACTACATTCGAAAGTGTACAATTTTACAATGTGCGATCATACGGTAAAATGTTGCAGGAAAAAGTTAGCTCGAGAACATCCGCAGAATCCCTGGTAATTTGAGGCCCTTCTCTAAAAACCTCCGAACAAGGAAAACTCATCGAGCCGTCCCTTATATTTGTAAGCCAATTTTTGCACTTAACCAATGGTTGTCCTTAGAAAGAGAAAATGCATCCACATTTGTGATTCACGTCGGTTTTCTTTCAGTGGTTTTGGTCTTTAATACTGTTCCGATTTCTAATCTGATTGTTATATCCCCAATTCCGTTCTTCGTGGTGGTCTTTGATTCGAGAAGAATCACTCGGCGGTACTTCGCCAATGACGTGTCCTTTCCCTATTATAGTTTCTTGAATAATTTTGTGTTTTTCCTAAGAATCGCAGTTTTCTTTGGATCATGGATGTTGTCCTTTACTCGCTCGATGTACGTAGCAGAATTAAAGGCTCCCATATTCAATGTTTTTTGTGCAAATACTCAGACATCAGAAGCGTGTTAACGTTAATGCAACGAATTTCAAAATTTGGTCGAATAGCACGAAGGTCTGATGCCGCTCGTTCGTGAGGGCTGCTTATGAAGCGTGCTCGGAGACCAAAATAGGTTTCTTTTGACGTTGTGTGAACGCTACCAGTCTGCTTAGAAATTTATTTAATCTGTTAAACCGGCTGTGAAAATGCAAACGTTAACTGTTAACTTATGAGATATGCAATTTCCCGCTCACACGGTCGTCAGCGCCGCTGCATTGCATACGCGAGTGCGGCGACTCCCGCTTACAACGTAACGCTGGCCGATTTCTCTCTCTCCACTGAATGGCTGCACCTGGGCAATGTCTCGAGCAGATACACGTCAGTAGACACTCGTCTGTTGAGAGCGCTTGTGGCAGCTACTTGCTGAGCATCCTGCTTGCTCTTTAGCCTCGGTAAATTTTGTCCAACCCAATACATCTTCTCTGACTGGCAATTCGGAAGTCGCCGTCCGACGACAATCGGGAAATCCCGCGTCTGCTTTCAATCCGACAGTCGACGACTCCTGCCAAATATCAGTCTGCCTTCCTCCAAGTCTCCCATAAAGTCAGGCATTAGCAATGAACAACTTCTCATTAGAAGTTCAGCATATTTTAATACCTGCTTTTGACCACCCAACCTATTTTGATTGCTGAGCGGCTCCGTTAAGCCGTCACTCGCCGCCTTCAAAGCATCCTTAATTCCTTCATCGTTTTCCCTTTTGCACTTTAAGTCTGATATTGTGAAGCTTGCCTATAGCATAAAGTCTCTTCAACAAAAGATTGTTTAGCTCTTATCCGTTGTTTAGAACGCTGCTAGACGATCAGTATTACAATCATTGTTGTCATCACCTATTTACGTGTGATGCAACTTGCTCGCGAATTTAGTGCACAGTCAATAAGTTCATTTTTGGCCCTTATCTCTTTCCCCGCATCCTAACCTGCATAGTCTTAGGGAAGAAAATCATTATTACCAATAGATAACTTCTCTTGTAGCAGGAATTACCCGTGTCGTATTTTTTCGCCCTGATTCAGGATATCTAGGTGTCGTCAGCCCTTTCGTCCGTCACCAATGTTTACTGGTTGCCGTGCACATTTACTGACTTTCCTTGACACATTCGGTTTCATCATGCCAAACATAAAATCTCCTGACTTGTATAATGCCCTCGTTGAAGCCTTGCGAATTTCTAACAAATGTGATCCTTTTCTAGAAAGTGGATAATCAGTAGGTAACCGAGATAAGTAGTCGACCTGGTGTTTTTCTTATGGCTAACTTCAGTACGCTCCACATTCGATGAAGCGATGCGCAGATGAAGTACACGAAGTTTGCCTTTGACCACCGTCTTCTAGATACAACACTTGAAGTTCTTCTCACTTAGAACTTTCTAGATCAAACAATGCGCACGAGGGACAACATTCCATTTCTTGGGATCTGGTCTTCACGAAAGACCCCGACAGTGTAGACGGGATATACGGCCTGCATCCGCCGGTTCGAAGTAATCACGCAGTGCTTTTATGTTAGCCCTGTCTATTTGCTGTTCTATGTGCAGCTAACGAAATGACGACAAACACTTAGTAAGGAGACGTTTGCCTTGGGAGAGCTGAAGCATTACGAATAGACATGGACGCTTTCTCCTCCGAAAATGTCAACAATTTCCCTGAAATACAATGAATTGAAATTAATCATGTTCTATGACAGATTCTCAAAGAAAAGCCGAACTTCTTCAGGAACAAGAAACTCATGACTCGTTCCTTTTGTTTGTTTTATCTTTCCTTCTGTGTATATTTGGGCGCTCCTAGATTTTCCTGTCATAAAAATCTTTTGAAATTCTTTTAATTGTATTGCGGAATTAACACACTGTTTGTCCATATGGGTTCTGAATCAGTAACAGGACAATTTAGATTAATTCTCTCATTCTCTGCATAGTTGCATGCTCCTGACATATTAACATTCCACAAAACTATTTAATTCCCTATTTTCCAAGAACGCCCATCAAAAACTGATAATTTTTTGGACAAGGCTGAAACGCAGGCTCACATTATCTCTATATTTTCAGCAGAATTATCACAATAATAAACATTTAGCACCCATGAAGGTACTGTCAGCGCATATTAAACGTCCATCGAAAAATACAATCATCACCAAAACTTGGAACGAATAAGCAAGCCTTGTAGTATTCAGTGTTTGTTTATAGAATAGAATAGGTTTATTATAGCGCCCCTTGGGCACTGTCCGTCTCCGTTGAACATAGGAAAAAACCTAAAACAAACTCATCCATTTCGACTGCAATTTGACTTCATTTGTTTTGGATGTCTGTTTAGCCAATAGAGCGCGAATTGAGATTTTGTTTTTAGGTAAAAAACCCAAGTCCAAGCCACGCACGATACGGAATGTTTGTATCAAGCCTCCGCGCAATTGCCTATAACTCAGAGGATATAATTTAAGGTTAGTTAAGCGGGTCTCATATGGTAGTGCATTTTGACCTCTTATTAATTTTGTTGCTTGTCTCTGCACCCTTTCGAACAGATTGTAATTCTGATGCGTCCACGGTTTCCAGGCCTGAATGGCATATTCGAGATGCGGCCTTACAAGCGTGCCGAAGTCTTTGGAGAAACAGTCTTTATCGAAAACTGCCAATGCCCGCTTGATGGCATATGGCATTGATGTTGCGGCCTTGGCCGCCTTACCACATTGTGTAGAAGGCATTAAGCTGTCTACAACCCAGACTCCGAAATCTTTCTGTGTTCCTGCTCCTCGGAGTGGCATTCCGTTCAGATGGTATTGCCGCGTACTAGGGGTCTGATTTTAAAGATGCAGTATGGTACATTTGTACAAATTGAAGGATAAGAGCCATCTGCAGTACCACTCGTCCAATCGACAAAGATTTTCTTAGAAGTTTGTTTCATCGGCAGCATTCTGGATGACTTTCCAGATTTTTATGTCATCCGCAAACATGGCACTATCACAGTCCAACTCATCTACACAGTCATTGATGAACAAGAGAACGAGGGTTAGTCCGAAAACTGAACCGTGTGGGAATCCATTCTCTATGAATGTGCGTCTTGATGGCCGTTGTTCTACGCAGATAATTTGGGAACGGCCGAGGTGGAAATTTTCAATCCACTTGAGAAGCTTGCCGCCGATGACCATAACTCTCAACTTGTACATGAGACGCAGGTGCGGGACCCTGTCCAAAACTTTCCGGAAATCAATACAGGACATCGATGTCGCTGTCGATATCCGGCCAGTAAGCAAAACTGTGAGCAGTTGACTTCATTGGGCTGGTGGCAGGGTGAGCCGCATAAAACTGGCGTAGTATAACAGGTCGAAGTGAAGATGAGATCACCACACGGTCCGTAAACATTAAAAAGGAGTCAACCACAGATAGCGATGCTCGGCGCAGGAAGAGCTGATGAAGATCGCTGGCGAGAGCAGTTGTCAGCCAGCAGGTCTGCACGTAGGTGACAGTTGAACGAAGGACAGGATCCTGTTCAGTAGCACGTCGGATGTCAGCAGCAGTGGCAGGGACGTCACGTTTAGCGCCTGAAGGCTGATGACGCACATCGTTCTCATTCGAAATAGGGGCAATTTCAGTGTCTTGCTTAGGCCCCTGGTGATCGCAGATGAGAAAAAAAGGGCGTCGGCCCGACCAAAGTCGGTATTACGGCAGTAGAGAATGAGTAAATCGTGGCCAAGAAGAATGATTGTCCATCGCTGAGGTCGGCTGGATGAACAGACAGGAATGCCGTTCCTCGAATCAAGGGTTGTTAGCAACGGTTTGTGATCCGTCAACAACGTGAAATGAGGACCGTATAGCAGCCTGTGGAAATTATTGACGGCAAGCACAAGGGGCAGTACTTTTTTCTTCATTTGCTTGTCGTTCTTTTCCGCAGGGGTTAGCGTGAGAGATGCAAACATGATCCCCTTTACAAACCCGTCAGGAAAAGTAAGTGAGTTGACGGCTTCAAATCCGTACTTGGAAGTATCTGCAACAACAACGATCGGCAGCGTCGGGTCGTAGTGTGTGAGCAGCTGATCTGAACTCAGTATCGACTTCAACCGGGCAAAGGCCTTTTTGCAATCGGAGGACCAGAACCAGAGAACATTCTTCTGCAATAAACGGCCCCTCAGTCACGCAGCGATAGCAGGAAGACGCTATAGTAGGTGATCAGGCAGAGGAAAGAACGAAGTTGCGATACATTCTTTGGTGCAGGCCGGATATGGGGCTGGTCGCTTTGGACAAAAGGCCGGTCGACTTCAGGAAGTTAAGTAGTGCACGGCTTGAGTGTGTGTGCAACGACCCAGGCCGTCCTGGAACACTGGAGAAAACTGTTGGGGAACTTCCCTGGTTTGGTCTGCATACACAGCGGGAATCTGCACCTGATTTTAAAGAGCGCGGAGCAACATGTCGGACAAACTAATTTGTTCAATCCAATCAAGATCAAGTAGGTTAAGGTCAGACTTAATGACAGCAGATCGCAGTGAGTCTGGTACCACGGAACGAGACACAGCATTGCAGGTGCCCCATTAGTTGGACGAGACCACCGCACGCGCTTGTGGCGGACTAGGAAGGCTGCTGTATCGTGTGGCTGCTAAGGGACTGCCAGAGTCTCTCGGAGACGATGATGCAGTCTAAGGAAGTGTCCAACTGCATATAGACTGTTTGGCTATTCAGCATGACGTCAACAAACTTTTTATGACCATCCCCGTTGAGCTGGAATATAGCCAAGTGACTGAGAGGATTTCCAACGGACTGGGGTTTGGACTCGCATTTTGACCGGAAACGGTGCTTGGACTTAGAAGTGGCTGGAGCGGGCTTGTTTCTAAAGGCCGCTGTTGATTTGCGGGTCCCGTGACGGTGTCTCACCTGGTTACAATATTGTCGGCGATGCTGGAGAAGATGCAATCTCGATGAAAATGCCGTGCGTCACAGCGCCGACAAGGGGATGGCGGAGATCTCGCCTTGGACACTTGTTTGGGCCGCGCAACAGGATGCGATTGAGTGGCTGAGACCGTATGGATTGAGCCAAATGTGGCGGGGTTCTGGGTTATGGCGGAGTTGTGCTTGAGGTTCATCAGCATTTGGCATTCCGCCGCCAGCACTTGGAGTGTGATTGGGTTGTTCTGTTGGACTTTTGAAACGAGACGCGCCCAGATGTCAGTATCCTTGGGGGAATAGAGGCCGGAAATCAATAGAAGGTATGTAAACTGGACTTTAGTGAGCGAACTGAGTTGAAAACGTCCACACTTACGATTGACAATGCCCGCACACGCGATTATATCGTCGAATTCCTGTTTGCACAATTATGGGCATTAAAATATAGTTCTGGACAGGGATGACTGCTCACCAGAAATCTGCGACAATGCCTGAACCGCGTCCGGGAATGTGGCCTCTCGGGGGTTCTTGTGGAGGAAATTAATATAACGCTCGTGTTTAGCCGGAACCAGTTTGCGCAGTAGGAGTCGTACATTCCATGCATCGTCCTGGGCAGCCATATCGACAGATAACAAGTCCTCGTAACGCTTGTACCAGGGATCATAAGTGATATGCCCCCGCGGATAATGCGGGAATTCATTGATGCTGCCGGCAATGTGATCAACAGATTGCAAACCACTAGCCGCGCTTGATTGACCCATGGACGAGTTGGACAGCTTAACGGTCAGTGCCTCCATCAACTTCAACTGCTGCTGCTGCTGCTGCTGCTGCTGCTGCTGCTGCTGCTGCTGCTGCTGCTGCTGCTGCTGCTGCTGCTGCTGCTGCTGCTGCTGCTGCTGCTGCTGCTGCTGCTGCTGCTGCTGCTGCTGCTGCTGCAACATTGGCTTCAAGTCGGCATACTCGTCAGTCACTGTAGTTGAGAAATGCGTCGCCAAATTGTAATGACCCGGCCTGGTACTCAGAAATCACGCGAAGCGTATGCACACTCGACTACTGTCCCCGATACCAGTGCGACAGAGAGGGAGAACACGACCGGTCGCGAAAAAGTGTATTAGTAATCTGCATGGTTATAACACCCTTTTGGGGTTCACCTGCATGCGGTCCAATGCACTTAGAGGAGAAAATTCTAGACGAGCTGATCGGTTTCTCGCACACGTGGGGCGGTGGTGAGACGTCACCGTCATGCTGACAGCGTGCTAGAGAGGGTCATGTGGCCTGCGGTATCGATGTATGTATTTGAAGGGTTAGAGTCAGAGCCCTTGACGACCCTATTTATGTATGAGGATTTCGTATATTCGCACTCAGAATAAATTTCTAAACACGTTCGGTCACAGTCTGCTTAGAGACTAGCCAAGGAGGGGACGTTAAAGGCTGTGGCGGTCACCAACGCGTACGGGCAAATGAAACCATGACTCTTCCTTGCCAACCGACCAAGTTACTTGCAGATGGCGAAAACAGTGGGGTTCGCCGTGACGACAACAGACATCTTAGGGACGAAAGGAAAAGATGACATCAAAAAACTGCGAAAGTCATCGATGCAGAAGAGGAGTAGAAACATTGGGTTTGGTGACCAGTTAAAAACATGGAGTTGTAAAAATCTAGTTGACAGTTTGCATTAGAACAAGAAAAGCGTGTATTCTCTTCAATTAGATACCAGAATGACCCTTTTCAAAGTCCAGTAATCTTGTGGTTTTATACTTTCTCGAGTTAAGTGACTTGGTAACTTAAGTTTGAATGGAGACCATTTGGGTGACGACCTAGGTTTTAGGGAATGATTATTCCAAACGAAAGCATACTCGAACGCAAAAGATAGCGAGCTTCTAGACGTAGAACCAAGAGGTTGTGGAATCAAATAGACTAATTACGCGTGACAAGATATCCGTTTATTGGAGTGAGAGCGTCAATACATGAAAGATGGGGGCTAGAAGTAGTGTAAAACTGGGGACAGAGACTGACTTATAGTCTTCTAGTATATAATAATTTAGTATTCGCCACTCGCGATCCCCTCTTATAAGGCATACTGAATTCAGCCCGAGGGAAAAGACTCTAGGGAAAAATCGCCAAACATTTTTTATTCTACTACGGTTACAGACATTTAGTGGGCCGAAATGAGAACAGTATTCGTAGATGGGAAAGAAAAGCATGCGGTAAGGTCTTGGCTTCATTTCGAGGGGAATTTTGTGATATAGACCCACGTATCTGCCCAGCCTCCGCAGAAACTCGTTGTGCATGAGAAGATAGATCATTCCTTTTGGAAAACTAAGGTCTATGTCCCTTGTGAGGAAGAATTCAGAGACTAGATTATTTTGAAAGAGTTTGGTGCCAGGAAGCTTGTTAAAACCAAAGGCTTGTTAAACAACATTTGAACGAGGAGAAATCTGTCTGCCAAGTTGAACTTCATTTCCGCAGTCAAAAAATAATAAGAGCGTTTTTTAAGGCAAGCATTTACATGACGCTGAAAACATGAATAAATGCAATTAAGGTCATAAGCATAAAAATAGGCTTGCGAATATCTGACTCCCGTTGAAATATCGTTGATATAAACGGGGAAGAACATCGGGTTAGAGCTTAGCTTGAAGTATGTCAAGCGTTGGCGAGCGAGACCTCGAGTAACAATTACCGGCCATAAGTTTTTGACAGCTCAATTCAAAGATAAATGAAGCTTTGCATTTGTCTGGATATTCTTAAGCAACTAATGCCTGTTTTTACTTGAGTCCCTTTTAAAAGTCGCCTTTCAATACAAGGCATAATTTTTCCCAGTTTTATTTGACAGTCTGGCAAAATAGTCGTATTATGTAAAAAAAACCTTTGTAGTGACTCCTTTCCCTACTATCTCCTTCTATTTTTCGTAGTTAAATAACAGTAGCACTTGCTATTTAGTGCGATTTTCCGTACGTTGGCAACGCGTTGACCCTTCTTCTGTAACGAAACACTTTTCCTGTCTGTAATGCCCCGCAGAGCACGTGCTGAACAGCGAAAGCTTGCGGCCTCCCCACCGTCTCTGGGTGCTAAAATCGTGACTGAAGACATAGCAGGTGCCAACGTATGTTCTTCGCCGTCTGCAGATCTGATTAATTCGCAAATTCCTTTAGTACATGTAGAACCTCTTGACGCTTCATTCATCCAAAAAATACGCCTCTGCTGGTCGTAGCAGGCCATCAGCCGACGAAATACATTATCAGTTGATATATGGCGACATAAACAGCACTTCTGAAAAAGTAATTGAACAAGCTTTTAAACTTATTGGGGTATTAAGTTCGGAAACTGAGGAAAGAATTAAGCGCAAGCATACTTTCGTACTGCGAAACATTCCGAGCCACTTATCTGCTATGGAGGGAGCGCATGTGTTCCTACAAAGTTGTGGCTTGAGTTTCAGTGTCGCACAAGCTAAGCGACTTCGCTCGCTTAGCCGTAATGCGCCGATACTAGTTACCCTTTTCTCCATGATAGAAGTCGATTCTATCTTGTCGAGTAGGGAGATAACTAGAGACCTCTGCCGTAAATGGCGCTGCTCCGTTTCGCCAGACCTCACACCCCTGCAGCGAAGACTGAATAAATTAAAATCGGCAAAAACCAGCACCAAGATAATGACACCTACTCTCAGTCTGCATAAGTCCTCTACAACACCATCTGCGGCATCTGCACATCACGTCATAGTCAATTCCGTAGGGAATTCGACTACTTTTAATGCTGAGCTCCTTACACACACCATCACGCCTGGAACAAACACGTCTCTATCGACTCCCCCAGCAACCCCTAGTAAGCCTAAGCATGTGTCGAAGTCAAAGGCAAATCCAATTACTGTCTCAGCCATTCGGACACCCAATAAATCCAGCACCAGTATAAAATCTTTTCCTCCATAATCGGCTAACAGTGCCTCAAATACCTCGACTCAAAACGTAGCGGGTTCGCAACTGCACCCCAGCCATCATATCGAGGCATTTAGGCCGACTATGCCGATTTATCCGCCGTTTAATAAAACACTTGCTCCAATGGAAACAATGCGTCCCCACCCCATAACTTGTTTCCTCCACGGCCGTTTTACCAATTTATTCCTCATGATAATGTCCATAATGAATCAGTTAACTCATCCTATCCTCAGTTTCGTTCCGGCGGGAATACGTTGCAGTATCTGCCCCGCGAATTTCCAGCTGAAAATAAGTTAGCTAACAATGGTTACCAGTTCACCTGCACGTCATTCCCTCCCCCAAGTCCTACCCCTTTTTATCCACGTCAGAATTTTTCGATCCCACAAAATTTTTTGTAGAACCGGATGGTTGCATCCGGACCGTTTGCTCCGTGGGCAGCCCAGAACTGGACGATGTAGCCCATCTCCCTCAAAATCTAACAGCCTTTCCCTTCAAACTTTTTGTTTTAAATGCCAGATCCTTGCTTAATAAGGTGCCTTTGCTTCAGACTCTGGCGTTCGTCCATTGTCCAGATATTGTCTTAGTAACTGAGACGTGGGCATCAGCCTCAGTAGCTGACTCCGAACTCTCGCATCTAGGCTATAATTGCATTCGAAATGATCGCCAAGATAGCCGTGGTGGGGGCAGCTGCGTCTACGTTAAGCAAACACTTACATTTTTGCCGTTAGACCTCCAACATTTTTCCGCAGTAGAAGGCAGCTGCTGGCTCCAGGTTGCACTAAAAATAAGTTCCCCTTACTCGTTGGCTGCGTCTATCGTCCTCCCAACGCCAACGACAATTTTGAACGTTCACTCTCACAGGCATTTCATGCTGCGGCCGACTCAAGCTTTAAGTATCAATTGGTTGCGGGTGACTTTAATCTTCCCGAAGTCCGCTGGTCTCCGCCTTCAGGCCCAAGAAGGTTCGAAGACTTTCTTGAGGCTGTAGATGTTGGGATGTGGAATCAGGTTGTCGATTTTCCCACCCGAGGCTCAAGCATACTTGACCTAATTTTCTGTAGAGGCTGCATGCCATCGTCGGTGTCATCCCTAGGCCCACTGGGGGGCTCAGACCATGACATAGTTGTTTCAACGTTGGAATTCGAGGCTGACAAAACGTCGTCCCCAAAGTATAGCTTTTTCCGCAATTTCCGATCAACTCACTCAACCGAATTATTAACACATCTTAATTCCTACGACTGGACTGATTTCTTCCTTAGTTCGGATGTAAATGTTTGCACTGCAAATCTGTACGAAATTTTGGATCCGCTTATTTCTCGTTTTGTCCCCCGTAAGAAAATTAGTAATGTTGAGGATGAGGTTTTCCTACCCTTACCCTTTTGTCGCAGATTGCGCAGGCTTTATCGTCGTTTCCATCTCCAGAACGATGTTTCTGTCCTGCCCTTGATTCGTGATATTTTTGATCGAGCTAAGAGATTGTCTGAGGAAAAACGGCTAGCCGAAGAGGTCCAGTTTACCGAAAACCATTCGTTAAATATCTCGAAACTTTTCTCTAGAAAAATACGAACTCATAGAAAGACGCAGCATCCCATCCTCCGAGACGCTCTCAGAAATCCCATAGTTGATGCCCAGTTAACCGCTGATAGCTTCAATGATTTCCTGTCCAAGACGTTCATTGAAGACTCGACAACTCCGCTTCCGACCATCCAAGCATTGACCGGGGCAGTTCTAGAAACTATAACTTTCACACTGTGGGATGTGACTGTTGCGATTCGGCGTTTTCGTCAATCTTATAGTCCAGGCCCTGATGGTATCCCAGTAAGCATTTTAAAAGCCAATGCAAACACGATCTACCCATCCCTCTTATGCGAGATATTTAATCTTGCTCTTGAAAGTGAAACTACCCTACCTTGTGGAAGGAATCACACATTTTGCCCATTCCTAAGCACGGCAAATCTACATCATTTGATGACTTTCGGCCAATAAACACCCTCCCCGCAGTTTCGAAGATC